CAAAGTCACTTAAAAATGTTGAAAGAGAATGTCATAAAGGTAAAATTCCTTCTTCTATCATGTTTTTCATGCAATTTTAGGTTGTAAACGTTTTGTCCAACACCTTTTTTACAATTTATCCCAAGCAACACTATGAAAGATTTAAATCCTCGATTTACAGCATTCAGTTTTGAGATGAGTGCAATCACAATGTAGTTTAAGAGATAATTTTCACATGAACACTTATTTACCACAGCACAAACGCATGTACCTATTCATGTAACATTAAAATAAAGTGGAAACAAATTGCATAATTTGGTATATAAAAAAGTACAAAATGTTTTTAGTTTTAATTCGACATTGGACTACGAGGAAAACAGTGGTTCATAAGGTTCATTCCACTTGTACCATATTGACATTATTATGCACGATGCTCGTTCAAACGAACGTCAGAAAAGTGTTGCCAACTTAAGCTGACTACTATTTCCCCCCTAGCCTCAGTCACCCCTTCATCCATTTACTGGGTCTATGTCGCGACCCCCTTAGATATACCAGCCCTGGTCGCGACCCCCTTAGATATACCAGCCCTGGTTGGCTCTTCTTTTTTTATTCTTCTCTTTCTTATTTAGCCTCTAACTGGCAAGTGAATCAGCCAGGGTAATTCAAAAAAAAAATCCGCTCCATACTAATTCGCAGCACTATTTGTTTCCAAAAATTAACACGGGATCCGACTATCTTCTTATTAATTTATCAGACTCGCCCTACACACTGTATACCCAATACACCCTCTGTCCGCATGTTTTACCAGACGGGGAAAGGGGAATCGTACGTCGCACATTGACGTAGTGTTTCGGGAGGGTTTACATATATTTTTAGTAAAAATTATTTAATGACCAAATCAATAACCTATGGGTCTTCGGAATCAAAGGTAAATTTAAAGAAAACATTCAATTTATACAGGGCATTCAAAAAGTCATTTTATATATTTTCTTATAGATTAAAATAGTAGGTAGCTCAAAGTGGAAGAACATTTTTGTTAGTATTTTATTATATAATTTTTTTTAAATACATGAAGAGCAAAGAGCAAGTAAAAATATAAAGCCATTTATTATTATTTTTACATGGGTACTGTTTGAAAACCTTTTCTACAGGTCGAAAAAAGAATAATTATATTGCCGGACTACCTTTTTTTTGTGAATTAAAAAGCTATTAACAAGAAAACAATTTTATTTCAGATACATAAATATACAAATATGATCTTTCATACCATACCATTTGGGTTGCATGTCACGACACCTATTTTTAGAATTATTTGTGTAATGATATAATAACTCATTTAGGACAGTAATGAGCAATGATTTTATAATATCTGGACAAGGCTAAAACACATTAGCTTAAGATTATCAAGAGATAGGTACTTATTTCTAATTTGTCCGAATAGAAAAAACACTAAAGGAAGCTTCTTTTGTGACATTTCGAATGTCATTTTACTATCAATGATTACTCCTACAAACACTCTTGGTGAAGAATCTGCTCAATAGATTTATTTAGTGTTATAAGATAACTGATATTTTGTAAAGCATATTTTGGAATAAAAGACAAAATAGCTATTTGTGTATTAAGAACAGAAAGTAGCACCTTTGACAGTTGAGACAGAAAGTCTGTCGAAGAGAAAAGATTTGTTTTATATTTATTCAAAAAGGAAGAAAAATACAATATCAAAACTGTTATCTCAGTTATGTAATCATCATTTTCAGTATTTGTGTTTTTCCAACTTATCATAGCAACTGACCATTATTTTGTTATTGAGATGAAAAACCGTACGAGTCGCAGATATGTACGGTTTTTCACCTAATTTCACGGGTATAATCAGCTGTACTACATTAACAGCTAGGTATCTAGTACGGTTTTTAAGCTCAATCGATGAAGAGACAAATTTTAAACGAAATGGCTTATTTTTAAATGTCAAATTTGAGACTTGTACGGTTTTCGAACTCACTGGTTCAATTGCAGAACACTGTTTGCAGTGAATCTTTTTCTTTAAGGATTTTGCTATAAAACCAGAAATATAAGCAACTACATCCTGAATGTATTCGCTCAGAAAATATATAGATAGGTAATCATGGCCACGAAGCTCATTTGTAAATTCCAAATTTTCTTTAGTGTCTGATTCGTAACAAATTTAACGCAATTTGGCTACTAGTGTTGCTACAATCCAAGATGCTGGTGCTATCTAAAGCAACTGCATTGGCAGTTTTATTTGACTTCACTTCATTATCAATTAATAATTTTTTATAACAATTTTGAAACAATCTCTATGTGAGATTGTTATTGAAGCATCTGTTACGAACTGCACTAAAAAAAGGATTTTTTTCTTCTTCATTTTTCGCCTCTTCAACTACCTCTTCCAAAATTCTGCAAAATGTGATGATTACTGTATAATTTTAGAGCTTACATATAATAAAAATACCCATAATAAATACTGTACTTACTTGATAGGTATAGCATTATGTTTTAAGATGTGTCTACCACTTAAATTTTCATAAATATCTGCCATACAAAAATGGTCAGAACATATACTAAGGCTTCTTTCATTTTCATAATGTTTTCCTCCACCAAGCATAGATTTTGCAGCCAAATTCCACGTTGAATAATTTCTCTAGGAAATCTGATCAGAAAATATAAAACATTATTATTTAAATAAACAATGCTAGTGCTAAATGCCTTTACACTGTTAAATAAATTAAGCCTTATTCCCTGTATATGCCTACGTCTATGCTAACATAATCTTATTTATGAAATGACCGAATAACATTCTTATTCTGCGTATTTCGGCACACTATACATTTCCTTCCCATCGTAAAAGTCCATAATAAAAAGTTCAGGGTTTAAATTATTCTTGAAAACTACAAAAAACCACAAAAATCACAATAAAACTTGATCTGTCACTTTGACAACATCAACAAAATGTCTTAGGTTGCCAAAGTTAAATGATTTATACCAAAATGTTTAATATTCCCATGTGATACACATGTAGAAATAGCTACTTAAAAGACTTAAGTGATTGCAATTAATAAAAAACTTATATTGATGCTTTCAATTCTTTATTTCCTTTTTTTATTAGAATGTATTAATGGTAATAGTAACTTTTTAAATAAAAATTTAATGTTTGACATTTGATGAAAGAGATCTGACAACATAGGAAGAGCGTACCGTCAAAAAAAAGTTGCGGACAAGTGTAATGTATACAAGGCGTATCTATTATCCATCCGATATCTTTGAATTTATCTATGGTGTAAACGTTTTCTGACATGACAGTTCTAAGTTGGGTAAATAATCCTCACGGATGGAGCCCATAAATTACTAAAATAAAAAAGAAGAACTGTAAACCATATATTATAAAAGACCTTTGCCGTAAATTTAAAAAAAATAACTGCTGTTATTTGTGATACTGTATAATACTGTGATTGTGATTAAAAAAACTGCTTTAAATCATAGTTAACAAATTTAAATTATATTCTGAATGATAGGACAAAACTACCGATTCATTTCTAGAGACATTTTAAAATTTAACCTCAAAAATGTCTTCTGTAAAGAAAATAATACATTTTCCACAAGGAGGTCTAAATTACGTGCCCCTATATGATACAAATCCACAATTCACCAATGGTAAATATAATTTTTTTTTTATGAAATATTTATTAAAACTAATATTTCAGATTTAAAATTGTTAGGGGGGGTGTTCCAAGACTCCCACTATATTTGGCAAGCCAAAGGGCCGGTTTTGGAAATTAGAAACACAAAATCGGGTCATAAAGTTGGTGCATGGGTTTTTGGTGGAATCTTAAAAGATTCGAACACAAAAATTGTGTGTGTTGAAGAACTACAAAGACCGAATGGACGAATTTCGCTCCTTGTAGTTGGCATTGAATGTACAATAAGCGGTGGAATTATTTGTATTTTTGATGTTTTTAGTTCTAAGGTCATAAGAGCCATTCAAATCAAAGAAAAGGTATGTTATACTGATACATATAAATACGAGCTAAGTTAAGTTTATATCAGAAATAATGTTGAGTATCCTTATTTGACACATATTTTCAGATATCATTTCTGCATGTGGTTGATCCAGGAGTAGAAGATCTAAACTTACCTGGTCCTTTAAGAAACTTTGATGGAATTCTAGCTGTAGGTACACAAGGAGGTGATGTAATTTTATTAGATATATGTAGACAAATATGTGAGGAATCATTCCATTTTCCCATGAAAAAAGATGAGCTTGACCCCTCTCAAATTGTACTTCTAACTGCTAAGCATATTTCGAAAATTGAACATTATAAAGAAAAATCTGTTAGAGATGGTAAACACCTTGGTATTCATTTGAATGCTGTTTTTGAGAATACCACAGACCATTTTGTGCTTAAAGGTCCTAAAGGTAAGCCATTAGTTTCTAAATGTGTTGTATATTAATTGCCATTTAATAGTATATTATTATTTTAAATTTTACATGTGTGTTTGTAAGATGTGGTGCAGTTTACCAGTATTCTATGTAGATGTAACTAAGGGTTAAATGCTGACGACTATGAAATCATTTTATATGTATTACTGAGGGTTCTATTGAAATAATCATTTTATTAGTAAGGTTCCTATTTTTCCCACATATATTCATAAAAAAACTATTAATCTGTAACAATGTATCTTTATATCTTTTTTAGTTTATATTGAAAGTTAATTCCCTTTATTTATTATTAACGGGCAGAGTCCAATATCTTTACACGTTGGATAAAATAAATTAATAAGTTATATCTCCCTATAAATTAGGAGATTTAACAAACAAATCTATTGTTGAAGATATCGAATGGCCAATGTCATTGATATTATCAAAAATGAGTTGGTATTACAAGTTGGTAATTAGAATAAGTTCATTGCTCTGGTTGACTTGAAGTGAGTATTGAATTGCAACTTGTGTAGAAAGTCAGTATTTTTTTATAAAATTTAGAACATCATACAGGAGCACGAGATCTTTTGTGGCTCTCTTTGACTTTAAGGTTTTTAGACTCTTACATGGATTCGATTTCATTATATTCGGTAACATTGTAGTTTAACTTTTATGAAACATATAGCAGAAATTTGTTAATGTATATTATAGCAAGGTTGACCATAGACAACAAGCATATTCAAAATGAGGTCTAATGATACATGTAAAAGTTTTATAGCAGATATATTTGAGAAATCTTGTGCATTACGTTTAAGGAAACTGAGCATTTTAAGAGATTTGCTTATTGCTAAGTTGATGTGGGGAATGAAGTTAAGTGATTTATCGAAGGTCACATCTAGATTCTTTATAGTCTCAACTTTTTGCAGATGTATATCATTTATAGCATAAACATGGATGAAAGGGTTTCTAGACCGTGAAAAATATAAATGAAAAAAAAAAAATTGTTAATATTCAATCAATCAATCAAAAATACGTTATTGTCGAAGAAGTACATCTTATTGACAAAGCTATAAGACACTTACATAACACTTAAAACCACAAAATACAGAAAACATGATCTATAAATATAAATTTAAATTTTTACAGTAAGCAGCTGAGATTTCAATTTTTTTTTTCAATGTTTAAATTATCAAATTTATTGATTGCATGTAATAAGGGGATTCGATTTAGAAAAGGTATCTTTAGCAAGAATAAGAGAGCCCCTAAGATTTAGACCTAGAAAATAAAGTTATTTGGGAGATATTTCTATTTGAGCCACTGCTTCTAATAAATTTGAAGTGTTATCTTCAGCTTCGTTAAGGTTAACAATTGTGTCATTACTATTAGGGTTGCCACCTTTTTAAAAAGTGAAAAAGGACTACGATGTCGACAGGGGCTCTGGTACACAAAAGTCCTCATCTTTCTAAACTTCTAAAAAAAAATCTTTGCCATGCTACCGAGCTTCTAAAAAAAAAGATCCTCTGTTTATATTTTTGTCCAAACCACGTACCTTCCAAAAATATGTGCTGTAAAAAAGACAGCTGTAAAAAGGACATTTTAAGCTTTAAAAAGTCACAAGGACATTATGCAGTCAAAAAGGACTGGTGGCAACCCTAATTACTATTAATCTCTTGGCCCTTATCCTTAAGAGGTGTCTCAGTTTTATTTGGTATGCTGTTCATTGACTTACTTACATAGACACGTCTACAAATTTCAGATTTTTAATTTTTTTTACACATTCAATTTATTTTACAAGTGTACAGCCTATTTTAAATTTATTTATTTTATTATTATTTATATCTACATACATAATGTCACCTTCAGAGTAATGATTAAGGTAATGAGCGTAGTCACAAAGTTTTACATTAATACTTTCAATAAACTTGTTTTTAAATGTATCATGAGATTTAATAACTGATGTAAAGACTACATTAGTATGTGTACAGTACTTAACTTTTTTATTAATTTATCTACAATTAGATTTTTATTACTCCACATAACAAGACGCTTTGAATAGTTTTGTACAGTGTTTCGCATTTAGGATGAAGACACCTCTATATTTTGGCTATTTAAATAAATAAAGATTTGAAATTTTGCACAGTCATACAGGGTGATGGTGGTTCACATTTTTCAAGATACTCAACTGAAATTTAAATTTTAAACGCGGCCTACTGCGACTCCACAAACAGGGTCGATTTTCGATATTTTTCTTCGCGTGAGAGATATCAGAAAGTTATTTGAAAAAGTTGTTCCGAATATTATTCTTACCCCACATACCAAAGTTCATGACAAAATTCGCATTTTTAGTTTTTTCATTATTTTGGTCAATACACAAAATTATTAAAAGTTTATTTTTTTTATTTGATAAACTAGTGCGCTATGGAAAGGAATAATTTGACACTTGTGGAATCATTAATGTCAATCAGATTAGACTTTCAATTTAATGTAATTCATGTAATTTAAATTCTTCAGTAAAATAAATAACACAAACGAATAATTATTTTATTTTAAGAAAGCAATAATTTTTAGTAGGTAACTGATTAAATTTAAGAAAATAATTAGAACAATAATTTTCATAGTACAAATGACAATTTATCAAATGTTATCTCGCTCGACTAGTCCTCCATTTATTCGAATACATTTTTCAGTTCTTTTACGATTATGTCTGGATACTCTTCTAAGTTCTGGGATGCTTATTTCTTAACAGGCTTGTCTTATTCTGGCACAGAGTTCATCTCGATTTCTCGGTCTTGTTTTATAAACTTTTTTTTTTAACAGTCCTCAAAAATAAAAATCGAGTGGTGTAATATATGCGGACCGCGGAGGCCAGGGTTCAAAAGGACTTCCTATCCAGCTCATAGGAAATTTTTGGTTTAACCATTGACGAACAATCCTTGAATTGTGAATGGATGCACCATCTAGCTGGAAATACATACATTGAGAGGACATTGAGAGGAAGATTTTCTATAGCATCCCATAATTCCCCATCAAAAAAGTTTCCTAGATGACCAGAATTTAATGATTCATTAAAGAAAAAAGGATCTATTATTTGGTCTCCCAAAATTCCACACCAGACATTGACTTTCTGGGAATATTGATCTTTACAATTTATAACCCAGTGGGGATTATTTCTGGCCCAGTATCTACAATTTTGAGATGATACAACGCCATTGGTGGTCAAAGTAGCCTCATCTGTAAACATAATCTTTTCCAGAAAATGCCTGTCATTTAAAAAATAACCTTGGGGCCAATAACAATAATCTAATCTTTTATTCTCATCGCCTTCTTTTAATGTATGTAAGAACTTTGGTTTATATAGCTTGATTTTGTGACGGATGAAACATCTTCTGATTTTATCCTTAATAATATTCAGCGGAGATCCCAGCAAACATTTTCTATAACATTAGTTATAACTCGACTTTGTTAAAGACGAATTTACTTATTGAGGTAATTATTACGTAAAATTAACTAGAAAAATATATCTCTAATGTAAATTTACCAAACGGTTTTAATTTATATTTAAATTTACGTAAATTATACCAAGAAATCTACCTTTTACACAAATATGCTTAAAAGTAACTTTAACCCTTAGATTAAAGAGACCGAAGATGTAACATTGCACACTGCGCATGCTGTCTATTTTAAGCCAAAGTAACCCACCAATTGAAAATCATTATTGCACGACGCCACCCGAATTGCTCCGATTTCCATTCAGCGATCACACCTCCACCTGCGTTTAATCACCATTGACAGCTGTTTTTTGATTTATTTGTTGGTATTTTAGCAATTTAAAGTGTTCTAGTTATTCAATTTCAAGTTCAAAATGTCACGATGTATCTTGAAAAATTGTATGTACTTATAATACAAGTACTACTGTTATGAATATATTCGTTTTCAGCGGTAAATATTTATTAACGTTTTGACATAAAGCGCCATGATTCTCTGGGCTGAATACTTCAGATCCGCATTAAGGGGTTTCAATAAATATTAAGCATCAGAAATTAGATTTCATATTACTTACATAAATTTACAAAAGGGTAAAATTTTGAACATTTAATTTAAATAAATAGTAAATAGGCATTATTGCTAACGAAATTTTGTATTTAAAAAGTAGTTTTATAAGAATGTTTTCTAAAGGTAGTTTTTAGCCCTTTTTGGTAGATAAATAAGAGGTAAAGAATCATAGTTGCTAGCTAAATTTTATTTTTATAAGGTATTTTTATAAGAATATTAGATGAAATACAGGATGACCTACTTAAAATTTCATCTTATTTGCGGTCAAATCGAAAGTAACATTGAATTTTCAGTCTTAAAACAAAGTAATCTAGTATAAGCAAAAAAAAAATACTAAAGTTACAGGAGTTAGGTCCGATTCCACCGTTGTGTTAAACGGAGATTAAAATGACAGTGTTAATGTAAAAATGTCATTTTAAACTTCGTTTAACACAACGGTGAAATCGGCCCTTAGTAACGTTAATTAAATGTTACATTACAAACCCCTAAACAACTCGAACATAATTTTCGTTTACTAAAAAAAATCCAAAATTTAGCAATATTTATTTATTATACAAGCGAATGCGATTTCAAAGATAACTGGATCAAAAAATCCGAATCTCTAAATTTTGGAGCTAAATGCTCAGATAAAAGCAAGCGACCGATAGGGGTTACAAAAATAATCGATTTATCGATAATTCTGATATTTTTTAATGAAAATCGATTTATCCGCTGTTTTTAATAAATTATTTTCGTTTTTTTTTAAGATAATGTATTAATCGATTTTAAAGGAAATACAGAAAAAGTAGATTTATTCAAAATTATCGATTTATCGTTTAATCGGTTTTTTAATTATTTGATTATTTTCGATTTATCAAAGATATATGAAAATAATCGATTGGATATAATCGGTTATTTTACATAATCGATATTTTGGTTATTTTTTTAAAATTATCGATTTATTG